TTTATATTGTATGGAAAGATGAGCGACATTGTGGCAACATTCATTGACACAATTTGTCACTTACAGCTCGGCTGTTTGGCATTTAATTGAAAGCGTTTAGCAGAGACATCTTGTCTAGAGAGCAGAGCACTCATAAATCATTTCGGGTGCTGGTTCGGCGGGGGGGCCCCATAAGTAACGCCACATAAATAAAAGCGCAGCGAAAGAGTGAAAAAAGTATCTGTGGCGGCTGCAGGAGAGAAACGAACGAAGGAGAGAGAGAGCGAGAAAAATCCCAACGATTTCCATAAGCAAATCAAACTATTCCCCATATCATTTGTGGCTCTATTTCTCGAAATACCAAATTGATTTTGGGCTGTGCAACACCCAAATGGGTTAAGCTATTTGATGAACGTATTAGAGGCCACTGCGCACTGCGATAATGTAGCTAGCAGATGCACACAGACACAGGCACAGACACATTCGATCCCTGAAATATAGAGCTGTTAAAAAGGGTCAAACTACTGTACAAATATTGGGAGTCATCAGGGCCAGCAGCAGCAGCAACAGCAGCTACAGAATGGAAATGGAAATGGTGGCATAATCCAAACATAAACTCGTCCAGATACATTAAGGCAGTTAACTAAATAATCACATTTAAAAGGCGCCAAGTGGTTCCATAAACAAATATTTGAATTTGGGACGCAGCTCGTCTGGCTGTCTGGCTGTCTGCCTGTCTGGCTGCTAATGGAGGTGGCAGGCTGCTGCTCGGAATCTGAAATCGGTGAACCACATGCACCATGCACCCATGCACCACTCCAAAGTAAATAATCCGAGGCCTCTGGTGGGTGGGTGGTTGGCTTGGATGGGTGTCGGGCCCTACACTCTCGCATTTATTTCCTCCCAGGGGCTGTGCCAAATCATTTCACGCTGTGCCACCAACTGAATGCAACGCAATTCCAACCAACAAAAACCAAAAGCCTCCCCTTGGAAATTATTCCTCCCATTTTGGGAACTCATTCCCTCTGGCAACAGTTGCGTCTGCGCCTTGCTCATTTCGCAGTTAGGCTACTACAAAAAGTACAACAAAAAAAAAATAGAAAACGAAGAACGAATCTTTTGTTCCACTCCAGAAAGAAGAAATTCAAAACCCGCTAAGGGTTGGATCAGCCGGGGGAAAAAAACAACACTCATACACACAGAACTAAAAAGAAAAAGAACAATGCCTTAATAATGTTCGTACAACTAGAACGAGGGAGAGAAAGAGCCATAGCCATAGCCATAGCCAGAGCGAGAGGCAGATTAAAAAGGTACCAAATTCCAAATAAAAAGGTAAAGGTTTCTGTATTTTTTATCATTAAAAGAACAAAACAACAGAACCAACATACACACAGTTTGAGGGAAGCAAGAGAGAGAGAGGTTGAGATAGAGGGGGAACCAACTGAGTCAGGGAATATTGCACAAAAGAGATTAAGTTCCTTTTTCTTACCCGATGCGATGCTGCCTCCAGGCCCCGAGAAACAGAAACAGACAGAGACAGAGAAACGAACGCAAATGCGTAGAGCCCAGAGATATCTCTCCTATATAGAGAGGGGTAGGGGGGAAGATGAGAGATCCCAGCCCTGGCAAAGTGAACATTCCAATGAGAAGCAGAGGCCGAGGCCGTTGCCGATGCCGAGGTAGAGCCCTGCCTGCTCCTGCTGACAATACAACTGCGCAAGCGTAACCTTTCATACCTGATTATGAACCGCACCGAAGAGCTGAACCTCAGCACATCCCATCCCATCCCGTCCCATCCTCTCTTGCCTTTTGCGTTTCAGACGAAATCAGAAAATGCAATTTACGAAACAAAAACGACGAAAAAAACACAGCCAGAGCCGGAGAAACAAAAGAGAGAGGGGGAGAAAAAGGAATCTTGGCCATCGGAATTGCCTTTTGTGCGGGGAAAACCCAAAAAGAAAACCAAAATACATTGATTGGCATTAGGGCTTAACCTGTTCTACCTGCCGGGAAAGTTGGTCACTTTTCCTGTTGGCCAGTTGAAATGTTGTGACAGTCTAGTTAATGTCAAGGACAGACAACTGCCCATCATCATCAGCAGCAGCATCATGATCATATTCAGAGAAAATGAGTGTGAAGAGACGAGAGACAGTGTGCATGTGATGGGATGATGAAATCAAAAATCATCGGGCACATTTAGCCGCACTTCATTAATCATCAGGCCCAAGCAGACAATCCTTCCTACCCAGGGCACCCAGGCCAGACGTGGCACGCATGGCCTGCAACTGCATCAAGCAGGAACCACAGACAGCCACAGCCACAAGAGCACAAGAGCAGAAGAGCAACAACCAGCAATGACAAGGAGACAATGGCCCAATGTTGTCAGCGGCGGAATCAACTCGTTGCATGTACAAACTATTAGCCAAACTGCCACAAAACTCTTGTCAAACCACAAGGAGGCATCGCCATCGTGGGGTAGGGGAAACAACCGAAAGAAAGAACCCAAAAGTCGACTGCCAAACGAGATGATTTTCATTAAAAATTACTTAAAATGAAATCATAAAAATATATACGTATATTCTGTTTTTGGGCAGACTTTCCTTTGTCTTTCGGGGGGATAGGGGGATCCTCCAACAAAGACACAAAGCACATTAACCAATGGGGAGAAATGATAATAATGATCATCATTATCAAGCAACAACAGCCAACGAACTTTTGTTGGATCCCCATTCCCATTCCCATGCCGAGTATTTATACATGTATACACCACATACATATATTCGTATTCTCTTAGTATGTATTTATTTTTCTTATATTTTTGTTGTTGTTTTTGTTTGGTCTTGTGGTCCATCATTTGCATCACATGTTTCTGGTTTTAAAGAGAAATTATAAAGCGTTTCCTTAGCTGCATCATTAGCAGCGCCAACACCAAAAGTCGCCTAACTATGTATGTACTGCGAGTATATCATCCATCCATCCAGCCAACAGAGCAGAGGATCTGATCTCTCTTGGATCTGTCGGATCTGTGGGATCTCTCGGATCTGTCGACTCTTGATGAGGGGGGAATCGCACCCAATGTCTGTGGCGTTGGCGTGGCGCATTTTACGCAGTTGCTTAGTCCAAATTAAAGTGAATTTATATATAGAGGAGGGACTGATGAACACACACACAAGCAGAGTGAGAACGAAGAGATATATCTATGCAATCTATCTATATAAAATGCATCGGCATCGGCATCATCATCATCAACAACAGCAACAGCAGCGGCAACAACTGCTTCAACAGCAACTAAAAAAGTGCCAAAGCATTATTTTTAGCGTCCTCTTCTGGGGCGAGGCGACGACGACGACAACGACGACGACGATGTCTCCTCTCCATTCCACTCTGCACCGATGTGCTGCTCACTGCCTCAGTCGCTCGTTTGTTAAAATTCGATGGGCGAATGACATTTTTGAGTTATTTTTGTCAGCCCGACAACGACGACGACAACGACAACCCTGCTGTCCCCGAAATGGCCAAAGTGTTCAGTTCTGAACCGAAATGAAACCGAAATGAAATGAAATGCAAGCGACAACTTAGTTGTTGACGTTCAGTTTGGTGAATGATCAACAAACGGTGCCTGCAATCTGCTCTGATCTGAACACCCCAACAGGGTTTTGAACTTTGCCAAATGGGCAACGCAACGCAACTGCAGCTGAAGATCAGTTAAAGGTGGGATGGGTGATCAATCAATGAGCAAGGTGTGGAATAGAAATGATACGAAACCGAAACAGATACAGATGCAGAGATACGAACCGAAGTCTGCCAAAGGTTCGATGATCGGTTCGTGTTCTAGTTAGGCAGGGTTTTAATCTCTCACATTTATCTTCATGCGCTGATGTTGCCATATCTTTAAGAGATACTTTAAGAGACATTTCATTGACAAAAGTTCATCAAAATCTCGCCCCAGCACCAGACGGAAAGTGCCAAGAGATGCGCAGCAGCATCTTGATAAATGTCTCTCCCCGCGAAGATGGTGTTCGGGTGTTGTTCCTGTTGTTGGCTGGGTTTATTGCCCATAGCAGGGGCCTGTCAAAATTCCAAATGGACCATAAATAAAAACATCATTTTTATAATATTCAACTGGCCAGGGCGGAACCGCCTGAGGGGGCGTTGCTGTGGTGGTTGTTGCTTGGCATTGCCAAAAATGTCACAAACCGTAGAATGGAGCCATAAGTTTTGCTCACTTTTGGCATCATCATCAGCATCGGCGTCATCATCATCGTCTGCCTGGGACTCTCGTCTGGTTGTGTGCTTCTGTTCTCCTCCAAGGCGATCTTCAGTGCCTCATAAAAATAGCTGCCCCAAAGGGGAGCAGGATGCACATACAAGCACACACCAGAGCGAAAGACAAAACGACTTGCAACATTATAATTTGTATGTTAAAACATCGTAAATTACTTAAATGTCAGTGTGTGGCAGAATACTTTTCTCCACCGTCTTCTCTGTTTTTTTTTTTATGAACTCCAATAGTGGAGCGTGGACGGGGGAGGCTACAGGGAGGAAGTGTCAAGTGTGGGCAGCGCCAGGCTGGAGTCGCCTCGCATATTTGTGACATATGGCGGCAAGACATTGTCAGCGGAGACTGTAATTAAGTGCAGACTGCCCCGCTCATTGAAGATGGGACAAAGACAGCCCAGTCAGCCAGCCAGTCAGCCAGCTAGCGAGAGGAAGGAATCGATCCCAAGCAAAAACCAAAACCAAAACCGAACCGAAACCGAACCGAACTGAGCTGAAGCGATCCTCTCCGCTGGGTAACGTAATCCGATCATTTAGCGGCTTGCTTCGTTAAGTTCGTGTGCCGCGATTTAGTGCCACATGTGGGCCATGTGTTCCCACAGAGATTCCAGTATGCCTGCCTCTTGTACTCGTAGCAGGAGTGAGAGGAAGCGAGAGAGAGAGCAGATCTCCAATTACACGGAGAGATTGGGAGTGGGAGTGGGGGGTTTTTGAGGGTCAAAACTTGATCCATTATTTCTTACCTGTTTACTGAACATTGCAATATCCTCGTTAAACGATTCCGATGAACAAACATCGCCACCTTGCACCCCGGGCTCCCTCGGCGTACATGTGGCCAATTCGCATTTCTCGAATATGAGCGCCAATAGCGGGAATAGCGGATGTCTGTAACGAGAAAGAGAGAGAGAGTTTCCAAATGAAATATCAGTTAAGCAACAAATTTTTCAGGACAATTTCCTGTTCCGATCCTGCAAATGCAAATGAGCAGCCGCATGGGGAACAGCTGCTGCTGCCGCTGCTGCTGCCGCTCTATCTGCGAGTATATCTAAATAAATAATCCCCCCTGGGCCACTTGGACTCTTTATGCTGACGGATTAGTTCAACAACTCAACATGATTTGACCATTTTTTTTTTTTTCCAGGAGATGTATGCTAGTATTTCCCTTTCTTTTTCACTGTTTCTGCTTTTTTGTTCTCTTTTCCGTTCACGCTTAGAGACGCACAAATTGCACCTGAACAAAATTAGGCGGGGTTGGTCCCTGTCCCCTGTGCCTGTTCCTCTCCTGTACCTTCCCTTGACCGAAAAACCCATTAGATGGCACAAAAAGTGACCAGCCAGAGTCCAGAACCCCAGCCCAATACAGAACCCAGAGGGGGTGTGGACCTGCGCTTAACAAACTATTAATAAGACTCGGACTCGGACGCGGCCTCGGACTGTGTTCGTTCTGAACCTTTTACAGTTGAGTGCGTTTCCAGTTTAGGATCAGGAACAGAACGAAAAGTAAAACCCAGCAACAGAAACAGAAACTGAATTTCTGTGGCACTCATTTGCCATGACTAAGCAAAAGAGCAGCAGCTGAAGTTGTTCTGCGCACTCGGGGAAGGTGTTAAAAGAGAGTGTGTGTGTCCCTCTCTCTCTGTATGCGTTCCTTCTTTTTTCCCATAAAAATTAATTTAAATTTCATATACTCGTACACGAAAAAAGGTGCCAAAAAATAATAATAATCATAACAATGTTGTTGCTGCTGCACACAGGTGCCCAATGAAGTCATAATCATCATCATTCGGTTTAGGAGGGGGAACCTTTGTTTGGCCAGACACTCGAGACGGACGGCCGGACAGTCATCAAACAGTCATCAAACAGCTGATGGATGGGCCAAGTCATTCATGAAATTCTGTGTGTCTCTCCCTCTCACGACAAATATTTGCTTAAATAAACATAAAAAAAAAATGCAGCAGCAAAAAAGCAAAGAAGGTCGGCAACGATCGAAAGACAAACAAGCATTTCAGGCAGTCAGGCAGCTGGCAAAACAGTTGCAACACATGAAAATTGGCAGTCAGAGAGTCAGTCCAACAGGACACGCAATGACACAAGGGACTCATCGGAACGGCAGGCCCGGCCAAAGCCTTCGATCGTGTTAGAAAAAACGAAGAGAGCCATAAAAAAAAAAGAAAGATCAAACAAAAAAGAAACCACAATTTTGGCAAATTAACACCCAGGAACCGCAAAGGGAACGCAACCGCAACAACTGCAGCTCATTTTGGATGGATGGATGGTTGGACTGGTCTGGTCTGGGCTGGTCTGGAGTGACTCCCTAATGCCTAAGCACGTTCATGTTCCGTGTCCGTCACTAAACTCTTGCCACACCCCCACAGAGAGACAGAAAAGACAGAGTGGAGAATTGGAAAACAGACATTTTTGGTCGAGCCAAACCCATAATTTTGTATTTTGCGCAAAACGCACAAGGATCACGCCCATTTCTATAAAAAAAAGGATCGCTTGCCTCTCCCTACCTCTTCCATTTTGAGCAGAGTTACGCGTGCGTTAAAATGATGTCGACTCCCTCGCCGCGGTGTGAACAGGTGGCAGATTGGGTCGCAACCACTCGAACATGCCCAAAATTATTAATCAATTGGGAGGAGAACTCTTGATTGAATTGCGGTTTGGAAATTGATTGAGCGCTTGAAAATGGACCACTGATCAATATATGCGGCGTGGAAAACTAGCAGATGATAATTGAAAGTTTGCACTTAACATTTGGGATCGTTGATCGCCGATGGAAGATTCCCATATGAATGGAAACTTTTCTCAGTGAAATCATTGCTAAAATGCTGACTGCTGACTGTGAGCTGATCTCAAGTGAATATTGCAGTCCTTTTGCTAATCTAGAATTTATTTGTAGTTGGAAAATTGACATTAATCTCGGCGGATCTCTGTGAAACACCTTTGATGATTATTTGAGCTGGTGTTCCATTGAGTTAGCGAACGGATCTTTATGAATGTAATACAGTGATCATGATCTAAGTTCTATAGTGTGTATGTACTTTAAATTTTATTTGCGCAAGCTTGATAACACATGAAAAATGGGATCATCATTTAGTCAGCGATATGGAAATGTTTTTTCAAATTCCTCACTTAATCAATTTAATTTCTAATCAGTCTTAGATGACCCCCCTAACAAGGATTATCGTAGGCGATCATTTACAGCTCAAAAAAAATGAGCTGTGGGATTCTGTCTGGAATCTGCTGTGCGAGGGATACTTACTCATAAATCGCATCCTTATCACGTTTGTGTACTTCGGGTATTGCGCCCATTAGGTGATTACCAACCGGTGATACATGACTAGGTGTACCATGACCCCCGGCACCCGAATGGTAGCCGTGCATGCCGACTGTGGCCGCAGCCGCCGCGACATGCGTCATGTGCGGTGAGTGGTGCGAGGGGAGGCCTTGCAGGCCGGGCGGCCTATGTCCAGCATGTGGATCGTACATAGCCGCCGCCGCGGCACCGGAGTCCATGCCGTAGCCGTGCAGGCCATCGTCATACTGCAAAAACGGAGATAATACAGATTAGTTATTGACCAAAAGAGTAGTAGATGAATGGATGTTGAAGAAGTGTTGTTCCCAGCCAAACAAAAAAAAACCAAAACAGAAAAAATATATCTAAATATATGCATTTAAATATTTGGCTGTGGGCAAAGCTAAAGACACAGAAACAAAACACAAAAAAAAAGCGATTCGCTTTGACCTTGTGATTACTTTGCCGCCGCTTCGACATTATATGGATATATATACAAATATACCCACGTATAAACATATATATGCATATATATTTAGTTACCTTTACCTCGGTCTTTGCTCGTCTTTTCTTTCAACGTTTTTTGCATATTAATTAAGCGCCAAAAGCAGCCAACAGCCAACAGCAAAATGCCAACAACAAAGAGACAATTTTTAATGTTATCAGTTAATCTCTCTATACGTATGTATGTACCTATGTATGTATGTGTGTATGGTTGTGTGTGATTGTTCTCTATCTCTGTCTAAAGTTGTACAACATTTTTTGGATCCGCGCAATTGCAAACTGGTTTGTGTGCAACGGGCAACAACAGTACGTACTCGCAATACACACTACAAACAGAAACCGAGAACTTATTGTGCTGATACCCTATGCAGAGCAGAGGGTGTACTCCAGTGTTTGGTGAGCAGTTTGGCACTCAGCGAGGGATGCATCAGCCATCAGAATATCAATAGAAGCATGCAGATAATCCAATCAAACATTTGTAATTAGAATCAAGGCTGTGTCTTTATCCCTTAACCATTCATCCAGCAGTGTATCTGTGGTTTCGGCCTTGCTTGTGGCTGTCATTTAACCAAAGTTCAACTGCTGCTGATGCCTCTGATTCTTTTTCGTTGGCTGTAGTGTATGTATGTGTGTTTTTGTCAGATTTTTATCATTTGTACTCAAGTGGCGTCCGTCGCCTGAGAAGCTTCTCTGCTGCTCTTCACACTGCATAATTTGAGGCAAGTTTGCTTGGTGAGAGAGAGAGACAGAGAGAGAGGGAGAAAGAGAGGCCGAAGAAGTTGACAAAAAGATTTTTGTGCAGCGACAAGAAATGATGGTGGGCCTGTTGCCCCCTTCCCACTCCGCCCCGTCTTCACACACATGAAAAGTCTCGCCAGCAAGTTGGAGTTTTTTTTGTGTTGTTATCAGCCTGGAAAAATCTTTGACACTAAATGAGCAATTGACTTGAGCTGAAGTTGAAGAGAAGAGATGGCGGGTGAAGAGCGGCGGAGCTGCAAAAGACAGACAGGGAGCCACACTTGACTGAAGATTTTGAGCGAAATGTCAAGGATTTGCACCTGGAAGCCAGAGCCAATGATATATGTACGAGTATCTGTATCTGCTGCTGTGCATCTGTATCTATACTTTGAAATAGTGCAACTGGCTCATAAAGCAGCTGCCTCCGTTTGCTGCAGTCGCGCAGTGGCAGTGGCAGTGCCACCTGCAGCAAGCCCCGAGTTGACTTCAATTCGATTGTCAACCTTTTGCAACGTTTTGTTTTCGCTCTGGCAATCCTTTAGATACACACAAAAGATTAGTCTACTGAGGAGGCAGAGCAGTCGTGCAATGCTGCTGCTGCTGCTGCCGTTTGGCGTTGGTGTTGGCCTCAGAGCCTGAGCCTGAGTCTGAGCCTTAGCCAGAGCCAGAGAGCGGGCGTATGCAAGATACAAGCCCATAGATACAGCCGCACAGGCCGAGCGGCCGGGTTAGTTCAGCTCAGATCAGCCGGGGTTCGAGTCGAGTCGACTCCAATCCAATCCACTCTCCACTCCACTCCGCTCCGCTCGCTACGGTTCGGCTTGGTTCGGTTCGGTTCATGGCAGTTAAACTATAAAGTTGTTATGCTAATTTTAGTGTTGGTGGCAACCGTACGTTGTCGCTGCTTTTTTTTCTGCTGCCATTCGAAATGAGGAAATTGTGGAGCAAAAGCCGTGCCAACAAAGAGATCTTGAAAATTACCACAATTTGTACTTGTACATAAGTAATGTGGGAATTTGAGTAACAGAGAAGATATACCACATACATATAGTAGTAGAGGGAGAGAGACAGAGACAGAGTGAGAGAGCGGAGAAGGTTTCTCTTTCTCTCGTTTTGTAGCCGAAACAAAAACCCCGGCACCAGACACACCAAACAAAAGAAGAGTAAAAATCGAACAGGCAAATACACTTAGCCCCCTCTGGGCCCATCCTAACCATTTGGGCCAGCTTTGATTGATGATCTCTTTCGGCTCAGACCTCAGACCCTATTTCGCTCCCCTCCCCTCCCCACCCTTCCCACCCTCCAGCTCTCACTCGCTGTCTTTCCCTGGCTGTTGTTTAGTGACCAAGCCATTGACCTTGTTGAATGGCGGCTCTGGTGGAAAGCTCTGCAACTGACAGCGGGGAAAATGTGGGGGCAGGCCACACTGAACGATGAAACGATTGTACGAGTGTATGTGTGTGTGTGTGTGTTTGTATGTTTGGATATTGATCCACCCAGAAACCAACCACTGAAAAGCCAACTGTAAACAGTCGTCGAGAGCCGCGCCGTCCGAGGAGGCCGGCATTTCATTCTGGTCTGATTTTGACAAGTTCAGCGTCGAAAATCCTTCAAAAATTTATGACGCCCCCTGGCCACACACACATTGACGGGATGAGAGGGACAGAGCAGAGGCAGTGGCAGTGGCCGCCCCCAACCCGACTGTCAGTGACAGGCGCTGAAGGAGCTGTGCGGCGCAGAGTTTTTCGGTAACCAGGCACAGGCACAGTCGGGGGGCAGTTGCTAGTGCCGGGGCTCTTGTCCTACTTGCTGCTGCCTCTGTCTGTCGCTGTGTTTGTATCTGTGTGTGTGTGTGTGTGCTTTTGTCGTGTTTGCGCGACATTAAGTCATACATACCCGAAAAAGCCTACTGCACCCACTGGCGGCCGGCCCCCTGCCCGCACAGGCACAACAACTCAATTGAAGCAAAAACCTTTAATGTTCAACAGAAATATGTATTTTGGCTTTAAGTTTGTGCCACAATAGTGGGAGCAAGGCAGGAAGGGGTTCCAAATGCGGGTCTGTGTGTGTGCAACAAAATGTTGCGTGAACTTGAAACCGAAAACGTTGCACGGCACATAGGCTAAAATAGAAACACAAACACAAACACACAAACAGCAACAGCAAGGACATTTAGTGGGTGAGGGAAAAGAGAGGAGTGGTGCAGCAAAGGGGAGTGGTGCCATGTGGCAGATAGGGTTAGAGAGAGGGCTGGAGACCGGGGGGGCCACCTTTATCTAAGGGGATGCCCGAAACTGACCAAAAGCCAGACACCAGGCGGGCAGGGCGTAGGGCGGCGTAGAGGTAGCAGGCGGAAACAGGAGAGTTATGAGTGCAAAAATGCAGGCATGCGAGAGAAACATAGTAGAGCCACCTCTCGCTCTCTCAGGCCTGTGTGTGTGTGCGTGTGTGTACGTTTTGGGCAAAATGGTGACAATGGCCGCCATTTTACATAGTCATGGTCGTAGTCGGAGCAGCAACAAAACCCCCAGCCCCACACAACACCCCACACAGAAAGCCTCAATATGTTTGGTGTTCGCTGCCGAAACTCCATTTCTATATCGATTTCTTGGCCTTCTTTCTCCACAACACTTTTGCTTTTCCTATTTTTTGTTGCTTTTGTTTTTGTTGTATTTCCATTTCATTTACGCCACCAACAAACCAACAAAAAAAAAAGGGTGGTAGGGACCAGGGAGCTGGGGCATATTGAAACCCGCAACATTCTTAATTGCGATGGCGCGGCCAAAGGCCTAATCAAAATTAATTGTTTATCATGTTATATTTGAATTTCTTTCCATTTCTTTGTATTTCTCTATAATTCTTTTTTCGGTCTGTTGTTGTCTTTCTTGACTTTTGCTTAATTAGCAGACGAGCCGCAGTCCCCAGTCCACAGTCCCCAGTCCGTGGTTGTTGGTTGTAGGTGTGTCCGTCGTCCCAATCCAATCCCTCCCGATACCCGTCTATCTGCTGTCCCGCCCAGTTTTGTTTCTGTTTTTGGGCCGCCTCAAAAGTTTTATTTGGTGTTAGACAATTAATTTTTGTTGCGTGTCTGGGTGTTATTTTAATTTACTTCCAACCAACATTTCGAACGCAACACGCTCTCTGTCCCATAGTTTTTCTGCTGTGTTTTTATTATAAACTTTTATTGCTTCTAATAACAATATTATCCAGCAGGCGGACATCAAACGTTGTGGGGGTTTGAGCGGTTTGTCAACGGCCCAAAACGTGCGCTAATTTTTTGGTTCCTTCCTCCCAAAAATTTATGTCTAAAAACAAATACTTAACGCAAAAAAAAATACGCAGATATATGTATATAAATAAATATAAAGCACAAAAATTAGATGCTCGGTAGCCAAATTGGAAGAGACCAATGGCAGAATGGTAGAACAAAAAAAAAAATGCAAATAAATGTATTCTTTGACGTTTCCACATTTATCAAAAATCAACAAAACATGACGTCAGTCTGCGGCATTTATTAAATTAAAATGAGCCCCAAACTGGCAGATGATTAACAAAAAACCAACAAACACAACAGCAGCAGCAGCAGCAGCGACAGCGGCATTTGTCCAAAAAGGTAAATTAAAATTTCGTGTTCAGAAAAACAAGAAACAAAATTCGATTCAAAAAAATATTGACAGAAACTGAATTTCTTGTTAGAAACAGAAATTAAGCAGAGAACAATTTTTGGAATAAACTGTCAAGGAAATATTTAAAATTAGAGAGGAAAATGTATTTAAAAAATGCAGGATATTTTGAAATTTGCATAGGCAAAGGAATTCGAATATTGTTTAGTTCAAAACAGCTTTGAATATTGTGAAAATAGAAGCAAACATTGCATACAAATTTTGAAAATGTTTTTGACAGATAAAAGTAGAGAGATGGAAGTAAAAAATATAATATAAAGTGGCTTTACACGGAATTTCCTAGAATAATAAATTGATGTCTTAGGAATCGCTATGCCATCAAAAACCCACCCAAGCAGCAATCTTTCTTAGCTATCTAATTAAATAGCCAAGTCTCGAGGACCTCTGAAACCTCCCAAAAACAAAAGCACTTTCTTTCTACCATTTAGAGCTACAGCGAAAACCCAAACAAAAATCTCTTGGAGTTTTTGGCATTCGCAGCGTCTCCTGGCTGGGGCCAAAACAAAAAGTTACTCAAAAATACGAAAATAAATTGCGTGCTGATGGCTCATTTAATTTAATGAGCGGCGTGTAACTTGTCTAAATGATTTTTCCTCTACTTTAAAGCAGTTTTTTTTTTCTATTAATTTTTCAGAGTTTTTGTTGTTTGGCGCTGGCCGCGCATGGAGGGCCTGGCCTGGCCTCTTTCATAGATGGATCGGATCTCCACGAAAGAGTTTTCTACAAAAATGTAATTTAGTTTTACTTGAAAATTAGCGAAACACTTTGACTTAATGTCAGAGGGAAATTACACACACACACAGCACACAAAAGGAAGGGAGAAGGAGAGCAGAGAAGAAACAGATTATTTAAAATACTTTATAAGACGATTTAGGCGTAAATGTAAAAAGAAATGAAACTAATGAAAACACTTCCAACGGCAGCCAGCAGCAGCAGCAGAAACAGCAGAGGAGGCAGGCAACATACTGTTGCGACCTCGTCAAACTTGGCAACTATGTGTACCTACAGCAACAGCAACAACAACAACTACAACACGAGCAACAACCAGAGCAACAACCACAACAAACAGAGCACCAACAGGCACCAACGCCGACCCAAGAACGAGGCACGCAATTTGATCATTAAACATGAAGCTCTTTAGCACACGAAAAACAACATCGACAAGAGAAAGAGACAGCGACAAAGATGGAGCAAGAGAAAGAGAGAGAGCGAGCGAGCTACAGTGGAGGAGCAGCTCATGTGGATAGGCCCCATATAGAGCCTGGCAAAAATATGCATATGTAATTTGTTTATAAATATTCCTCGCAGCCTGCTTCCTGCTCTTCTCTGAAATAATTCGCTGGCCTGAGAGAATTCCCAACTTTCGTTGAGGAACCGAACTAAACCGAGATACATATAACTGATAGCCGGGCCCAGGCCCAGTCCCAGCTATAACTGATCAAAAGATACAACGGAGAAACTCTCTTCTGGAGCCACCATGACTCACGGGGAAGCTGAGAGTCGCAAGAATTTCTCACTTAATTAGAAAAGAATTTCCAGCGAAGGTTAACCATCTCCGGGAGATGTAACAGAGATAGAGAAATCAGTGGGGGGAATATTACTAATGAAAAAAGCCACAAATTTGCAAAATATTTCACATGGAACTTCACTTTCGGCTTAAAGGTGGGAAAAATATAAACATAAAAATAATAAATGATTCTATTAACTAGAAACATGAAGGAGATGAAGGAAAGAGTGCTTTCAATATCTCAAAATATTATTTTGCATTCGCATTAAATCCCCAATCTTTCAATCAACTTTTCGCCGAGTGTGTTCGGCAAAAATCTAACAAGTAACGGCCTCACGTTGCACATCGAATGGCATTTGCAGCAGCATGCCCCGCGATTTATCCGCTCGCTCGCGCGCTCTCCCCAACCAATTCCTTTCTATTTTGATTTTATTTCTGCAAAAAGAAATAGAGGCAAAGCAATCACAGAACGAACAAACACACAGCGAGAACGAGGGAAACACACACTAGACGAATTATATTTTATGCCACAAATTACGCTGCGGTTAACCTTTAAATTAAAATAACACCAAAACAATTTTTGTGGTGCATTTTGCAGGCGTTTGAAATGGCACGGAAGAGGCAGGGACAGTGGCACTGGGAGTGCCAGTGCCAGGGACGGGGTGCCGAGGAGGTGCTTGTGGCAGCTGCACATTGCACATTTTTATACAAATTGCAATTGCACATTTTTTTGCTGGCTCTCTATCCTCTCTCTCTCTCTGCTTTTGTAAAGGCATAAAATAATCAAATTAAATATATATAAAAATACATTTGTGAAAAAAAAGAGCGCTTCCCGCCATTTTCCGGCACGCACAAATGTCCAAAAATTATAGTAGAGTCATGGAAAATTATAAAAATAAAATTGTAAATAATAAAACCGCAAAAAGAGAGCGGGAAAGCGAAAGAGAGAAAGAGAGAGAGATTGAATGAATGTCTGCCGCGGCCTCAGCCTCTTTTCGCTCATGTGCAATAAAATTATATGCATCAAATGCACACAGAAACAGATACAGACACTCTGACACTCTGGCACACAGATGCAGATACAGATACAGCCACGGACACACAGTGGAACCCGTATGTATATTGTGCCCAGAGTCGAAAAATTCATTTGATGGAATTGAAATGGCGCGATTCGGCCAAAGAGCCGCAGGAGAATAGCGAATACAGACAACGGGCAGCCGGGAAAAAAGAGGGAGGGGGACAGGAACTGGTACTGGGACTGGGACAGAATCGTGTATTAAACCACAAGCGTAAATTTATTCGCCAGTAACAGCAGCACCAACAACACACATATAAAAATCACCACACAACATTCCCGCGGGCATTTTCACATTTTTCGTTTTGTATATTTCATTTGGATTTTTGTTGTTGTTGTCTTTTAATGCTCCCAAAGAGCTCGGCCTACCTATGGCCAGTCATAATTCACTCTCCACATACACGCATACGCATATAGACACAAATGTAGATGTTAATTGCTAACACACACACACATATCGAGAGTCTTTGCTCCGTTTAATAAAAATCAAGTTCACTTCGCAGGTCCATGTTAATCAATTGATAAAGTCGAAAGCAACAAACCAACAAACCAAAAAAAAAAATAGTAAAGAGGCAACTCTAACTGCGATTTTGGTCACCTGATTAGCATATTATTTATGATCCATATGAGTGGTAAAACATAAACGGTTCACCATATTTTACCATATAAAGCATATAGAATTGTGGAAGAGGGTAATGAAGCACTGATCCCAAAGGCACTCGTTATTTCTCAGATATTCAAATTATCGTGGAATTATCGCTTGTCTATCTTTTCAGTATTATTAATAGGAAATGTATACATATAAGATTCATAATAAATATGATCTTGTATGCTAGAAATCTTTTAATGACAATACGATTAAGTGCCAGAAAATGTTTAAGAATTGGACAATGGCCCATAAACCTCCAAAGGGCATCTAACGAAATCAACTGGGAAACGGCTAAAGACTCTTAGGAATTTCCATAGCTATCATGAGAGGTTGAAGTTAATCCGTCGTAGTTTTTACAGACTTCTATGGATATGTTACACAGCTGTTTGAAGATAATCCAAGATGTTTGGATGATTCCTAATTGTTCGAATGGCTTCTTGAAATTAATTTTCACTGATTTTATAATATCTTGGTCATTCTATAATCCAACAGAATACCAAATATCGGCAGGGCACAACACAAATTTAACTAAATAATTCCATAAACTTGTATGAGAAAGTGACCCGCATAAATCATATTTGAGAGAGAGACTCTGCTATGAGAGCCCCCCGCACACACACGCAATTCAAATTGAACTCGATTAATGTTGCTCCACGATTGAAAATTCACTATTGATACGAGCATAGAGACTTTAAGATGTGTCAGAGAACTTGCTGCCACACTTTGCTGATAACTGTTTGTGCCGACGGCATTTGATTTGAACCAAAAAACAAAAGATGTGCGATATCCGACGGTGCCGTCGCTTATTTGGCTGGGGAGTAACAACACTTCTGGGGATAGCCCTAGATAATTTTAGGGGAACATTTTTTGATGGTACTTACCCTGGGCTGAGCCATTAATGCTCTGGGAGCGACGTCTAACCCGATTTGTGCCACTTTTGGTGTAGAGAAGACTGTGGGGCGACGCAACACACAATTCGACGGCGGGGCCCGCGTCCCTTGTGTCTGCTCCTCGCTGTGGTTGCGGTCGGTTTTCTTCCAGTTGTTGTGGCTCCTCGGTGCTACGGGCTCTTATTCTGGCAGATCTGTTTTTTTTTTTTTTTTGGGGACCTCCTGCTTTGACGGGGAGGATTGGGGTCTCTGGAAATTCTTTTTCTGTTTTTCCCACTCAAAAATAGTGTTACCGGGGGAAAATCACGTTGTTTTTCCGGCTTTTCTTTTTAGGGGATTTATGCTTTTGCTTTTTGCTTTTATTTTGTTTTATTATTTTTGCACTCTTTTACAATATACTTCTTCTACTTCTGCTTTTCTCTTTTATTCATTTCTTTTAACACAGGCACATTTGTTAAGATTTATTTTATGTATTATTATTACGTTATTTTTTGTTGCTTGTATACTTGTTGTTGTTGTTGTTGTTGTTGTTACGCGCGCGTTGTTGTTTTTGTTGTTAAGCGGGGAGATCTCTTAAGAACTTTTTCTTTATCTTTTTTTTTCGATTGAGTTAAGTGTTCTTTTTTTGTGTGTTTAGTTGTATTTACATATAATAATGTTTTGGTTTATAAAAATCGTATACAATTTGTTGTTGCTTTTGTTGTAGTTGTAGTTGTTGTTTTTGTTCTTAGTATACTGCTGTATTGTTGTGGCTGTTGTTGCCACATAATTTTGCAATTTGTTTTTGTTGTCTTGCAGTTGTCTGTAGTTGTCATAAATCCATGGCTCAACTACAGTACAGCTTCCTCTTCGATCGATCCTATTCTATTCGGTTTGATCTTTCTTGCAGATTTTCAGATTGATTTCCTTTTCCGCTTTCCGTTTTGCTTAGGGTTTTAGTTGTTGTTGTTGTTGTCGTATACTCTTTTTGCTTTTCGTATAATATGCGCACTATTTATCACAGCTGCTTCTACATACTATATATGTAACTAGATCCTGAACCAAAATGAAAACGCAAAAAACTTTAGTTGTTGTCGTCGTCGTCGTTGCTGGGTAAAAAAGTCTTTTACGATTTAGCGACGGCACAACACAACGTACATAAGTAGGTAGGTGTTTGCTCTTCTCTTGTGGGTGGTTCGAAAGAGAGAGAGAGGGGCGACAGCTACGGACAGGGGATCGTCGGGATCCCCTCTGCAACAGGAACGTACCCGTTGAAACACGCGCTCTACCCTTGACGGTTCATTTAGTTGATTTTGTTTCGATGGATGCGATGCGATGCAACTGCTGGTGAGGTGGTATATACCGTTAAAACGAAACCGAACGCGGGAACCCGATCCGTTGCGCGCGCGATTTTTGTTGGCGATTTCTTCGATGAAAATTTATGCGTTTTTTATCCTCTTATTTTTTTCTCGCTGAGTTCTTGTATTTTCTGTTGCTGTGCGGCGGCAATAATAATACGAATAATAAAAGTGGCGCTCCGCGGTTGGCAATAATAATAATAGAATAGTAATAATAATAATTCTTTGCTCCCAACGACCAACGAGACTTCGCTACTCGCTTCGCACACGACACAACACAGAGGAGGCACAACACAACACGTCGGCCCGAAAGCAAAAGATACACTGTCATTGTCAATCATTCGCCGTGGTGCCGGTCGTTTTCGGAGAGTGTTGGTCTGAGCAAGAGAGAGAGGGAAGTCCCACACACACACACACACTCGCACGGGAACACGGGCACACACGGACACGGCGACGCAACAATTGTGCCATTAAAATAAAGTAGCAGTGCAAGCGGGATGGCCATACAGCACTCGCGTTGCCACTTCTGGTTCCACTGTCTGTGTGTGTGTGTGCGGCGAAGAGAGCGCATGCGCCTGATCGCACGATGACTGATTTGTTAGTACGCCTTTTCTGTCATACAGCAACTTGTCCCAGAGTCGAGTCTCTCTGCTCTCTCTCGCCTTGCCGTTTTTTGACTCTTTTTGCGCAATGTTTTCGCTTCGTTTTCTCTGTTTCTGTTTCTGCTTGTGCTTCTGCCCTGCCTCTGTCGTCGTGCGTTCGTACGTTCGTACGTTCGTTTGAAATTTATTTGGCTTTGGCCAAAAGGAGACGGCTTATAGGTTTTTGGCTCTCTGCTTCTGCTGCTGCTGTCGCTGTCGCTGCCTGCGCTGCCACTGCCGTTGTTGCTGCTGTTGCTGTTGCTGTTAGCGTTTCTCTGGTGCGTGCGTTGAAAATCAGCAAAAACCAATCCCATTTGTTATTTTCGCTTGAGTGAGTGGCAGTTTGCATCAGTTTTGCCATTCAGTCTTGTGCGCTCTCAGTGCCCGCCCCACCTGTGCTGCTATGTGCTGCTGCTGCTGCCGTGGCTGCCACCAGAGGGGTGGGTGGGAGTTCCCAGTCCCAGTCCGAGCACGAGACCGAGTCCAAGTCAAAGTCTCGTTGAGTGCTTTCAGGTGTTTCTCCAGACGCTGTCCGTCAGTCAGCTTTCGCTCAGCATTTTTCAGGCTGCTGCTCTCTTTACCCACACACACACACATGAACGCACTCACTCAGCTCTCACACACACACACTCGTGTACGCACTCCCTTTCTCACTCTCGCGCACGGCAGCAGCGGCTAAGGCAACGCCTTCGAAGAAAGAGTGAAAAGGAAAGAGCAACAACAGCTTTGTGCAGGGCCTCCCAACACCACCCACCAGCCACCCGCCATCCTTCCCTGGCATCCACAAAAGCTGTCGACGATCTGGCCACTTAGGCATTGATCCTGCCAGAAATAACAAAAGAGAACAGCTGTTTGGGGCATCCATCCCCCCTGCACTCGCTTTCTCTCTCACTCTCTATCGGCGTCGCTCTTTGGGGAGCCAAAAATTGCATATCCTGCAGGTCTGCTGGTGCTGGGTCCTGGCTACTGGCTCCTGGCCCATCATCCTGTCTGCCGCTGGCTGTTGCCACTTTTTACAGTTGTTGTTCGTGTCGTCGTCCTCGTGGCAGTTTAAAAAGCAGTTAACACATATTCCCAGGCAATTTTTCAACAGCGTATTTTTGGTTTTGGCGCTGCAGCAGCAGCCCCAGCAGCCCCAGCAGCAGCAGCAGGCCATTACGTGTGGGGCAGTCGGTGGGCGCCGTTTTTAGGAAAATGAAAAATAGCCTTGTTTGTTTTTCCTCTTTCTCTGGCGGCAGAAAAGGATATCCTGCGGACTGGCCAGAAGATGATGTTGCACTTAATCTGGCTGCCATTTCATTCCATCTTTGATCTTAAGTGCGCTGGCATGGGTTCGTTCGGGGTTTCGGGTGGGGCACGGTGTTTGGTGGGGTCTGTTGCCTGTCAACGCGCTGACAAATTTATGAGACTTTGATGGATTTGCGGTTGCTCTTCTTTCTTCTTTATCAGTTTTCTCTCTTCGCCTCGCGTTCTCTCTTGTTTTTGGCTTCTTTCTCATCCTTCTTTACCCGCCTTTTACTTTGTTGTTGCCAAAAATGCAAAAAATCAAGTAATTTATGCGCAACGAAAATCAAATCAAATGAAATCAATTAAATGCAATAAATAAAGGTAAATCCCTCAGTAGAGGGTGAAGAGTAGAGTAGCTGATTGATGGGAGGGGGGAAGGCAGGGCGTTCGGTAAGCGTGGGAACTATTTTTTTCATAGGCATTGGACCAAATTTATGAGCTCGCCCAACGGCATTGATCAGTGTTTGGGCTAAAGTTCGAGGACAGCAAAAGGAATATCTTCAAAATAAAATAGCATAATTAAACAACAAATAATGTCGGCTACATAAAAAGTAATAAATATTTTCTAATGCATAGATCATAAGGCCACGCAACAGTGCGAATAATCTTCCTACTTTTTGTTCAGATTGAATATGATACGAAATTAATATTGACACGAAGGTTCTATATGTGGTTAATCGAAAGTCGAAAGATGCTTATTGTGTACCTTGTATTGATAGGTCGTTTAAGCAGTTCTTCAGTTTACAAAAAAAAAAAACAATTGTAGGTTTAAGAAACTAAATAAATAATAATAAATAAATAAATACGATCAACTCCGTATTTGTTTATTACGATTTATGTGGCCCATAAAATATCTGTCAAGCCGCCGGGAGTCTATAAGAATTACTTAATAAATAATCTGATAAATGTGATCGGTCCGTTTGTTCCTATTTAGTTCCAATGAGTGACATTTCAGTGACTATGCGACAACTGTCCTCTAAGAACTTTGCACACAAACTATAAATAGTTAGACTATAGTCTATAATTTTTGGAATTAACAATTACGTATCGTCTCCCATAAATAAATTCGGCAATTAAATAAAAACGGTATCACCATAGTATTTCCCAATAAGAAATGAAAACTTAACAAAAGTAAAGGAATTTCATTTAAAATTGAAGGGACCATGAAATTTAAATCAGCCAAAAGAAAAATAAGCAGAAAAATAATGAAGCAAGAGGCTGGGTCTCCACCCACAAGAGGGTTGGGAGAAAGAGAGCCAGCGTAGAGGGGAAACGACTCGAAGGAAAAACCTCAAGGAAAATTGCATTTGGAAGCTTCCAATCCCAGACGAGAGGCTGTCGTTGCTTGTTGGGTCGCGGTGTGGGGTGGTGGAGGTGCGGTTGGGGAGGAGTGGAGTGCCAAAATGTGGCTCTCACCCATACAGAGGCGCACACACGCACGCACACTAATGCCGGGCAGCCAATATGATTTAAAGCAGAGGCAGCGCCGTCGACAGCGCCAGCAACGGCGACGCTGGTGTTGTGTGCATGACAATTCATCTCTTTCTTATAAACGCAATTTATCAAATGGAAACGACGAGCGAGCGACAGCAAAGATGAAGACGACGACACGATATCAAGTGATGAGCAGGACAGACTCTGCGCCACGGCGTGCGTGAGAGAGGGAGAGGCAGATACTAAAACTCACTCAAAGCGCAACAAAAAAAAAATGGCACAAGAGAAGAAAAATAGGAGTTGTTTGAGACAACTTTTTGCGCTGAGACTGCCATAATCTTGATGGACAAGTGGACTGTCCGCTCTCTCGCTCGCTCTCTCTCTCTCTCTCAGCAGAACACACACACACACACACAGACGCGCGCGCGTTCTCTTCGCCGCACTCTTAATGGTTTGTTTTTGTTTTGCGTTGAATTCGCCGCATGCACGCGAGAGCGGGATAGCATGTGCACTCGCTTTCGCTGGCACACGGGCCAGAGCGAGACGGGCTGTGTGTTTTATGGCCACCGCATCAGCTGTTTACAGTTCAAGAGCCACTGGATGGGCCGCGCGCGATGATGCCAGTTCCGATATTCGATCAGGATGCACATTTACCTGCATATTTACCTGTACAGCGCTCCTTCTTCGTTTGAATTTCGCATAATTCTTTCATTTCGTTTCGTTTCGTTTCGTTTTTCTATTTTCAATTTTCCTACGTTTTTGTGACTTTCAACGCTTGGCCAGGGCCCATAAAAGGCTTAGGACACTTGTCCGCAGACCCTCTACCTGATCCTAAGCCCCGTGCGGGGTGTCTAAGCAGGACTCACACCCACATTAAAGGCCTTGGCGCGCTTCGATTTTTCGTTTTCTCGTTTTTTCTTGGTTTTCCTCGACTCATCCATTTAATGGAGTCTTTCCAACGCGACCCGAAAACGAAAACGAAAAATCGATGCCAAATTTGTTGCTTAAACAAATATGCCGGGTCATCCAGGACGGGTGTCCTTTCGTCAAAGCCTGCTGCCCTGCATTTGACAGCCGCCACGCGGACGCTGACGCAGATGCCGATGGATGCCGATGCCAGGCACTGCCAAACCTGACAAAACTGTCAATTCCGGCAGGCGTCTGCCGTCGGGGCTGCTGTCAACAAATGCGGCCTACAAACCCCACCCCCCCTAAGTCTAGGACGCCCGCCGGGTCAAGGACACAGCTTTCATATTTGTTTTCTCGTCGGGTATTTTGATGGTAAACTTTTGTCACAAAGTTAATTTCTGTTTGATTTAAGGATCCTAAGCCACTTACCTGCTCTCAGGTCTAATCATACTTTACCTGCAAACGAAACAGAGAAACAAATAGAGTTAGTAGATGTCACAAAAGACAGAGAAAAATACAAAAATTAAGAGAAGGTGCACGACGAACGGTTTGGTGAAAAGTCAGTAGGAAAATTATTCATTCGGTTTGGTTTGGTTTTTGGGAAACATGCAAATGAGCTAAAGGAACCCGGATTAAGATGCATTCCCCTGTCCGTCCATTCCACATGTGTTGAGCACGCCCTGCACAGTGTCTCCCCCTCCCTCCCAGCCGTTCTCCCCTGTGACTCATCCCTCTCAATGATCTTTTCCTGGCACATTTGTCGGGAAATGTTTTCCTTCTGCTTCTTGGTTCATTTTTTGATTGATTGCCCAGAAAAACCACTTGAAACTGTCAAGGGTGCACGAGGAGCGGGGAGGGGCAGGGGGACAGGGGAGTGAATGCAGGGGAATGAAGTGAAAATCACTTTTCGAAACACACACACGCACACACAGTTGAAGGAAATCGTTTTCCTATGAAAAACTACTTAACGCAGGAGAGGAGAGCATGGCCAAGGGGGAGGGCCGGAGGGAGGATGCATCATGTTAATAACTAAATTAAGGAACGAGATACTGCT